TATAATGTATACTATATGTATATGTATGTATTATATATGTATGTATGTATATGTATATATATATGTATATGTATGTATGTATAGTATTAATGTATATATATTTATATTTATATTTTGGTGGCTTAGTTATTTGCATTTATCTTGAGATTACACAGCGGTGACTTGCAATTGGTTGAGTGATAATTGTTGTTATTTCTTATGTGATAGCCGATAGGTAGATAAAGATTAAAAATAGACAATGGCAACACTGGCTCTGGGTCTTCTTCACAATCTAGTAGAGGTAGGACTGTATATACATGGGCATGTTATTGAGGTGTAGATCCAAATGGAAGGAAGACATTAACATGTCTTCACTGTGGGAAAGTAACTAGAGGAGAGGTATTTTTAGAATGAAACACCATCTAGCCGGAACAAAGGGGATGTTGGTGCTTGTAAAAGTTCCTTTTGATGTTCAATACTCCATGGGAGAATCCTAAAAAACATTGGGATAAAGAGTAAAGAGAAGGTTGATTCTAGTAAGTATAATACTCCCTACGGTGCTTCCGTACATGTATTTGAGGGAGATATGTTAAATGAAGATAGTGAAGAATTTCGTCCATCAGAAATTCACATAAATGAGGTAGGTTTGGCAGTAAAAAACAAAGTACAATGCTAGACAAATCAAAGAGAAACAAATCTATTGTTGGTGTGACTATTTTGCTCCAAGGACAATTGGTGGATCTCAACCATCAATTAGAGTTGTTTAGCTGGAAAAGATGCGACGTGGAGAGCAGACATGGCTTTTGGAAGATTCTTTTATGATGCTTGCATCCCAATTAATGCTGTAAATTCAATTTATCTTCAGCCTTTGGTGGATGCTATAGCCGCAATTGGGCCTGGTTATAACACCCAAATTATCATGCTTTGCGTGTCAATTTGTTAAGAGATGCTAAGAAGAAGTGCAGCTTCTTGTTATAGTTATAGAAAGATTTGGAAATGTTGGATGTACCTAATGGCTATGGTTGGACTGATAATTCACATAGGTCATTGATCAATTTTATGGTGTATTGTCCTAAGGGAGTTTGTTTTGTGAAATCAGTTGATGCTTCAATGTTGTGAAGGATGCTGGGACATTGTTGAAGATGTTTGGAGGTAGTTTTATGGATTGGACCAAATAGTATTGTCCATTTTGTCTCAGACAATGGATCCAATTATGCGTCTGAAGATTATGTCTGAGAAATATTCCGAGTATACTTGGTCCACCCTGTGCAGCACATAGCATAAATTTGGTGTTAAAAGACATAGCGGAGATGGATCACATAGTTTATCTTGCGAGACGTGCACTGAGGTGACGAAGTTTATATATAATCATACATTTTGATAGCTTGGTTGAGGAAAAGACAGGTATATACTTTTAGCTCATGTTCTTGTCAAGTCAAACATAATATGCATTTTTATTATTGACTAACATCTATTATTTATCAATTGAACAGGGTTGGAAAGAAATTGTTCGTCTGGGTGCAACCCGTTTTGCTATAACTTTCATTGCAATGAGAAGCATTCATGAGCACAAACATGACTTCACAGCCATGGTGACAGATAGGTCATTTTGTCGATTCTCGATATGCAAAAAGTAATAAAGGCAACATATTATGACATAATTTTGGATAACGATTTTGGGATGATATGGGTAAGATATCCAAAGTTGTGAGTCCATTGAGGCGCTTGTTGGGATTGTGACTCAGATGAGAACCAGCAATAGGATATGTGTATGATGGCATGTACAGAGCGAAAAATGCAATTAAAAGTTGTTTAAGAATAAAAAGAAATTCTACAAGCCTTATACACGAATCATTAAGCTACGTTGGGATGGACATGGCGTCGTGATAACCATGCTGCGGCTTATTATTTGAATCCTGCCTTTAATATGACGAAGATCTTTTTGCCTCAAGCCAGAAGTTATGAGTGGTTTCCTTGATACATGACAGTAAAGCAAGTGCTTTCAATTTGAGCAAGACAAGGTTAATGGAAGAGAAGTAGATTATATTCAAATCGAGAGGAAAGCTTTTCTCGTGGGCTTGCTCTTGAAACCGCCAAAACCACACGTCCGGTACGTAATAGTTATAAAATTTATAAGTTCTTTTGTTTTTTAAGTCTAATTTATTTATTATGTTTAATTTTCAATTAGATGATGGTGGAGATCATTTGGGTATAGTACTCCAATTTTTAGAAGTTTGCAATAAAAATTCTTAGTCAAACTTCAAGCTCTTCTGGATGTGAACGAAATTGGAGTGTTTTTGAGCGCATACATACTAAAAAGAGGAATAGATTTGGCATCAAAGGTTGAATGATCTTGTTTTTGTTCACTATAACTTGCGTTTGCAAAACAGTATAAAACATGTCAATTACTCATTATCATCACTCTTATTGTTATTATCTATTATTTTCCTTCATATTTTAGTTGTCTGCTTTTAATATTCATTATGGTTTTTAGGAAGTTTACAAAGAATAAGTTTGGATCCTATTGATTTGAAGTATCGACAAAACTGAAGGTTGGATATTGTACGATGAAGAGGAGGAGGTCAGTGAACTTAATTATGAGGATTGGAGGACAAATGTTATATGAGAAGGATCTATTCCCACTGAGTTGCTGTCACCCTTCTTTTTATGATTCAACAGATGGTTCAAAAGGTTGGTTTCAATTATTTAAGCAACTTAGTATTTATTTAAATTAAATTACAGTTTTAACTAATGATTTCTATTTTTTACTTAAATTTTGTAGATGTATGATGATGATGATGATGATGATGATGATGATGGTGATGAATTTTTGATGGTAGTGTGTGAAGCTTAATCAACATGGAGACTGATTAAAGAAAAAACACTTGCATTAAATATTTTGTTATTAATTAGTATGTATTTTGACATTTAATATGTAAATACTAAATACAACATCATGTTTGGATTTAGATTTTGAATTGTTGTTAAATACTTAAATTATGCTAGGATTGTTGTTGAATTTGAACTTTGAATGATATTGGATTGGACAGTAATTATGTTGTTATTGTCTTATTAAAAAATAGAAATCTAAAAAAAAAAAGTTTTTTAAAAAATGTGTTGATGTCATCATGATGTGTGATGACATCACCGGTCCAACCGACGGTCCAACCGGTTGGACCGGTTGAACCGTGACCCGGCTAGCAGAGCGGGTTGCCTACTGGTCCGGTTTTTAAAACAATGGTTTTGATGCGGTTTTGTATGCCTTCAACGTTTGGGACACTAGAAGAGTTCCTTTCTTCTTATTTAATGAAAAAATATATGATGTTACACTAATAATTTTCGTTGTATAGGAATTTTTCTGCAATCCAAGTAATGGAACTTTTCTACAGCAACCGCAAGGTTTGTTGAATGATACCATTTGCTTTAGCTGTTGCACTATTTTAGCATAAGATTGTTGTTGTGACAAACGACCATTGTATGTGTTAGAGTAGGTATCCTAGAGCCAATCAATTATTGTAAAATTGATTCTGTAATAAATGTTTATTTATCAATAAAAGACATATTCTTCTATATTGTGTATGTAATGATATATGTCCTTAGAATAGTAGAACCATAGCAAGGGTATCAAGTGTTTCAAATCTAGATAGTGAGAACCCTATGATCACATATGGTGGTCATTTTAGAAACGTTTGTAGCCCTAGTATTATTCTGACCAAGGACACAGATAATATGGTAAGACTATTATAGTGTTGAACGACTCTGTCCAAAGGCAGTGATTGATCTCACTTGTCAAGGTTGTTTGCGACAACCTAGTGCAACCCATGAGTGCTTGCTAGAGGCAAGTTCATTGGATAGGCCTACCAGAGGATTCCATATGGATGGTAACCTCAGTGTCTATAGAATAAATCCTCTAATGGATGGTAGTGCATGTAATCTTTAAACTTGAGATCACTGGAGCGCCTTATGCACCAATTGGTGTAGTTTGACACTAGCCCAACGTAGTTCTATTCAAAGTTATCAATACGGTAGTGATTGGCTACATTGAGAAGTGTATCGAGACTATGGTGGATCAACAAAGGATTCATCAGTCCTAGGTACGGGAGAAGTTATCTTACTGGGTAGTTTAGGAAATGACAATGACACTAAATCTGTGGCTACAGTGAGATTGAGTTGATCCTCAATCCAATTTAATATTCATGTCATTGGTCTAGTAACTAAATACAAACATGTCAAAGATATCTGAGGTTGACACTATTTCTGTACCTCAGTCTCGATGAGATAACAGTTGATAAAATGATTTGATTGCACGGTAACCATACCATTGACAGGTTACGGGTTCACTAAATCCGAATCTATCGGGTGACCATGATGCCTTACTAGGGGCCAATCTTGGTCTGTGTGTAGTGAGACGATTAATTGGTATTAATCACGATACTACTCACTGCTGATATGATAAAGAGTCTATGGGTCACACACTTAGAAGATAATTTAAGAATCAATTTGTGGGAAATGTATTTTCGTCTTTTAGGACAAAATGATATTTTGGTAATTTTATAGTGCAATTAAATTGGTTGAGGTTGTTGTATGTATTTAATTTTAATATTAAAATTAAATTAGTGAGATTATATTTAAATATATCTTTGTATATATATATTTAAATGAATTATTATTATTAATTAAATGTTAATATTTTATTATATATTAATTGATTTTAATTATAATAATAATTAATTAATTAAAATACCATAAAGGGTGTGTTTGGTTGCAAGGGTGAACTTGGGTTGGAGGTCATGGCTATTCCTAAGTGGAATAGGGTTTTAATTGTTGCACTACATAAGTGCAACTTAAAATTAAAACAAGTATGAAATTATTCATTCAATTAAAACCTTAGCCATCCTATCTCTCTCTCTCTGAAGAAGAAAACTTTTCTTGTTATTCTTTCTTGATTTTTGAAGCCCTTGATTGTTGTAGCAAAATAATCAAGGGTTCTGCGGATTATCTTCGTGTGGAATTCCGTGAGTTCAATCATACTTTGGATCAACTGACAAAAAATTCCATGAACAGTAACCGCGAACAGTATCATGAACAGTGTTCCTGTCCGAAATCAGAGATATTCGAAGGAGTCTCCAAATGTACGTAAGTATTCTAATCCTTAAATGGATTTACGTTATACAGATTTTTGTTTATAAACATGTAAACGGTATAATCTATACTCGGATCTAGGCAAAGAAAGGTAATTGATTTACTGATTGAATTTTTATTTTCCGCTACGTATGGTAGATCAATTACTTACAGTATGTTGAGTATAACCACATATACCAATGTAATGGGGATAGTTGGATAGCTACTAATAAATGGTTGTGTTCGGGATTATGAATTTCCTAATGCCAGGAATAGCAACGAAAGAATCTAGATCCAGAAGATGTTTCATCTTTGATTATGATGAAGAGCGTGGTGAACCAATCCCCAAAACATTGGAATTTCAAAATCTTATACATGGCGAATCCAGCTCAAGGTAATTGTTAACTCTTTCTTCTTCTTTTAAATTGTTTTTATGATTTCATTTTGTTGTTGAATTGTATCACTTATATGTTCATATAACTCATAAGAAATCTAAGTTTTATTTTGAAAAAAAATTCAAACTAGACTTAATTCGTGATTAATATTTAAAATTAATGAAAATAAAATAAAAATATCAAATCAAATATTTACTATTGTTAATTTGTTATTGATGATGACCATTTGTCAAAATATTATAAAAAGCTTTGATAGTCCGTTGAAGTTAACTTAAGAGAAAATCTAATTCTTTATGAAGATATTTTCTAGATTTCCATTTTGATTGAAGTAAACTAAGATTAAGAAGAATACATTGAATTTAAGTAATAATACTAAATTATGAATTTTTATTATTATTATATATTATGAGAGATAAATCATTTTTCTATCATATTCAAATAACATGAATTTCAAGCTAGATATCATATCAAATTTTAAGCTTTATTTTAAAACTTATTATAATTTGCATCTATAATATAATTTCAATTTATATGCAAATTGGTTTTAAGTCGATCTACCTAATTGGTAATATTGGGTCCATATATTATCATATGCAGCGGGTCACATATGCTATGCGTATAGCACAAAATAGTAAAGTACATATGTTTAGTTAATATTTTACAATATATTAACTAGTATTGCACTATTAATCTCTTTTTTCCTATCTTTTAAATTAACTAAATAATATTCAATTCAGGCGATGGTTTTAGGTGAAAAACAGTTACATGAAAGCCTGAAATACAAAAAGATAAATTGTGAGGGTAAGGGATAGTATTTTTATTTTTTGAAAAATATTTGTTAAATTTTATTTGATGGATATAAATCAGTTAATAATATCTTGTAATTACAACGTATTTATATCTTGTAATTTACAATAAAGAAATAGATCTCGTGAAACAAATACATATCATGGATTCAAAATAACTTTCCTTCTAGTGGTAAATTATTATTATTATAAATGTTTTAAAAACGAACTCGGGGCTAAACTTGGCAAATAAGTCGGGTCCCGGGTTGACTGGTTTGATCCACCGGTCAAACCGGTGACATGTCCCCTAAAAAAAATTCAAATGTTTTAAATCGGCACACGTTACCATAGTCACTCTTTCTAACGCATGTTAGTGCGCATCGACATCGGCCTTCTTTCCCCTTTTTTCGACTATTTTCTCACTCAAAATCACCCTGGTCACCACTGTTGGAATCCCCGTCCTCTCTTCTTCAAAACCATACCTTTTATCCCCTCTCATCACTCGTTAATCTTCGGCAACGGATAACATGTTTTTTCGGCTGTCCGTTGCCAGATTTCGGCCGTTTTGAGCAACGAAATCTCCAACCACCACCTCCATTAGACTCACTAGCTATTCCCTTACAAAACCTCCAAAGTTCCCAAGCCATTCCACCCACCAATCGCCGGCAATCAGAAGCTAGGGTTTCATTGTTTCTTGGCCAAATTTTAGTGATTTCGGTGACTAAAACTTAATCAAACACTACCTCTCGACTCACCTTGATCCACCTTTCAAAATTACTAAAAGTCGTCGTTTTTGCGTGCCGAAAGTTGCCATTTTCTGCAATTTCATTCACCTAGTTTAAAAAAAAAAAACAAAAGAACGGTTGGACTAGCGGGTTGCTACAATATCCCCGGTCCAACCCCGGGTGAATCTGGGTCAAATAGGCCCCCCGGTTTTTAGACTCTCACGGCTCGATTCACCGTTGAATCGGTCGGGTCGGGCCAGGTTTTAAAACAGTGATTATTATTATTTATTATGATATACAAAGATTTTGTGGTCCTAAGTTTTCATTTGTTATACTACTTTTAAATTAGAGAAATAATCTTAGAATTTAATACGTTTATGTATTACTATTTTGGATGTTATTTGCAAACATTGTCTTAATTCATTCATGTTATTGAATCTTTAAAAGGCTTAAAATCATGAAGATATTTCCTCGAAATTTAGCGCTCCTAATCATTCCTTGTTGTTTATATCCAGAGAAATATTTCAATGAAGGTTCATTTTATTTAGATATATAAAGGTAGAGGTGGAACAAATGGGCTTGGTTAGGCGAGTCAACCCTAACCCAACCCACCTCAACTCGACCTGACCCGAATATACCCCACTGAGTGGGTTGGGCCTTCATGGGCCAACCCAGTGACCTAGCGGGTTATATTTTTTTTAAAAAAAACCAACCTACCGGGTTAGGGGTTTTCAACTCGTGGATCAACCCGGTGGGTTGGCCGTTGGCAGCCCGTCGTGTTGACTCTCGGGTTGGACAAAAAAAATAAATAAATTTTTTTTTTTTTTGGCAAAAACTCACTTTACCCTTGAAATATAACCGTTCTATAGCAGTTGGAGGGGTCTTTTTGGTTATTTTCTTTTCCCTTTTTTTTTTTTTTTTCTATAAATAGGGCCTAAACTCTCATATTTCCTCACATCCCAAATTCTCTCATGTTCTCTATTGAAATCTCTCAATCTCATTTTAAATTTTATTAGTTTTTGCAATTTTCAATTCATATTTCTTCTATATCCAGTTTTTTAGATATTTCCATCCCATCAATTTCGATGATGAAGAAAATTATCCTAGTCCCCCTGAATTTACTAACGTAAATGCAGTAGATTCAAATAGTCATACTTTCCCATTCATAGAATCCAATACACCTCATAATATTCCCCCCTTCCTCCCCCTACTGCTACAGCCCCCGGTGGTTTTAGAAGTCATCCTCACAATCGTCGTCCTCATCTAACTCCATCTCAAGCAGAAACGGGTTCATCAATTGAAGTTGGAATCGACAACAGGCACACATAAGACGTTTGGGAGCATTTCGATAAGTTTTACGAGACATAACATAGAGTTCAAGTGAAGAAAGCAAGATGCAAGTATTGTAGAAATATTTATAAAACTGATGCAGGTAATGGTATTAGTATTTTAAAAAGGCATGCTAGTAAACATATGAATCAACATGGAAATAGAGAAACCAATCAAACTCAAATAACTAATATGGGTACTACTTGGCATTATAATTCTGATGAATATAGGGAATAATTAGCTTTATATATTGCTATAACTGATCAACCTATTAATATGGCTGAAGATAAATATTTTGAAAGATTTATTAAAAATTCATTTTTTCCAAGATTTAAAAGTTATTCTAAAACTGCAACTAGAAATGATTTGATAAAATTGTTTAGGAAAATGAAATTAGAATTAAGAAAAAAAATGCATAGTTATCATGTTAGTGTGGCTCTAACCATCGATATTTGGAGTAGTAGAGCTAAACAAGATTATATTTGTATGACTAGTCATTATTTTGATAACGAATATAAATTAAATAAATCTTTATTGAGATTTAGATTAATAGATGTGGATCATAGTGGTCAACAAATTTATATTAAAATTGTTAAAGTTTTAAAAGATTATGCTATTGTTCACAAAGTGATAAGTTTAACTTTAGATAATGCCAGTGTTAATAGTAGAGTTATAGATTTTTTTAAAATAAATTTTCCTTTTTATGACAATTTGAAGTTTTTTCACCAATGTTGTGCATGTCACATTATTAATTTAATTGTGAAAAGTGATATGAAAAAAAATTAAAAATAATATTGATAGAATTAGGGATTCTTCAGCTTGGATTACTAGTAGTAATAGAAGAAGTGCTAAATTTCAAGATGCTTGTATAAAATCAAATATGTCTCCGAGAACTTTTGCATTAGACATGCCTATTAGATGGAACAATACTTATTTAATACTTGATTCATGTTTACCTTATGCAAATTTAATTAGTTATTTTGTATCAAATAATAGAGGTCCCCATTATTTGGTAGACAGTGATTGACATATAGCTCAAAAATTTCATTCTTTTCTTAAAAAATTTTATCAATCCACTTTAAAACTTTCTGGTGTTTATTATCATACTAGTCCATTGGAAATACATACAATTATAAAAATTTCATATTTATTTAAAAAAACATAAACAATGAAATTTTAGCAGGACCAATAAAGACAATGGAATTAAAATTTAAAAATATTTGAAACCCCCTCCTTTTCTGTTTTGTTTAGCTGCCATATTTGATCCTAGAATTAAATTAGCGGGTTTAGAAAATGGTTTAGACAAGTTAAGTGAAAATTTACGAGACGAAGCATATGCCAATCAACTAGGAGAGATAAGACAGTGTCTTGCAGAGGTATATTTACAATATGAAAACAGGTATGAGAACTAGCAAAGAGGCGAAATACCCGAGGAAGTAGCATCAGAAGACACAAATGAAGGCTACGACTCCTGGAATGCACTTAATAGACCGAAGATGACCCAAACCCGAAGCATAGCCTCCTCTTCAGAAGCATCAACAACAAATATATTGTCCTCCATGTAGCTACAAAGTGATGAGCTTCACCAATATTTGGGAACCCTCGACGTGCTACCAGTAGATCCACAACAAAGAGCCAACTTTGATATATTAGAATATTGGAAAACTAGAAAATGCATCTTTTTGGTATTATCGAGACTTGCCTTGGAGGTTTTCTTTGTTCCTGTCTCGATCGTCTCATCTGAACAAACATTTAGTGCAAGTGGAAGAATTTTAAAGGACATGAGGATTAAACCTTCACCAAAATTGATTGAAGTCCTCACATGTCTTCAAGATAGGGAACGGTCGCGCCATCAGGATCAATACGAGGTTGTCGACGATATTTTAATAGAATCATTTTAATTTTACAATTTAGATGATATAGATGAGGGAGGTCCTAGTCAACCCTCAAATTAGTTGTTTTATAAATTGTAACTTTATAATTTGTAAATTAACTGTTAATTATTGTACTCTTTTTTCCTTATCAAGTTTTTGTCCCAATTGAGTTTTTCTTGGCAAGGTTTTTAACGAGGCAATAATTGTTGTAATTTCTTATTTCTTATTTTATTTTTTTATAAATGAATAAATCTAATTTTTCTTATATTACAATTTAATTGTATTAATATTTGACATGTTAACAAAAAAAATTAATTTAATTGAATTATTGATATTTGAAAAGTTAACTAAAAAAATTACACAAAAGAAAAAAAATAAAAAAATTTCGGGCCAGCCTAGCCCATCTTGGACAAAAACCCACCAAGTTAGGGTTGGTGAGCTGGGCTAGGCCAACCCTTCTGGCCAAAGAGGCGGGCCTAACCTGACCCATAATTTTGCTTAACCCGCCACGGGCTGGGCTAGGCGGGTTAATTTTCCACCTTTATATAAAGGAATAATTTAAATTTCTTCAATTACGACTTTACCCTTAATAAAGTTGAATCTAACCCTAGTTAGTGTTTATTGTCCCCTTAATTGAAGGATTTGTAACTTTTGTTCTCCCATTGCAAAAGTTTGAAATTTTTTTAACCTAATTGATAATACCTTTATAAGTAAAGAAAGTAAGTTAATGGTGTGATTAATTAAGTACAGTAAAACCTCTCTATAATGATACTCTATATGGGAATAAACTGTACATAGTCATAAAAAATTTAATTCCCAATTTGGGATAGTTATAAATAAGAATAAGCTCTACATTATAATAGGTTATAATTTTTCTAATTCCCGTCTTAAGAAAAGTTGCCTCCATATAGTAATAATTATTTGTATATTGCAAAAAAAAATATGTTATGTACATTAAAGGTTTAAGATGAAATAAAATATTTATTTAAAGTTGTTTGAGACAATGATTTATGCTTTAGAGTTGTTATTACATCTTTTAACTTGCGGGCAGATTACTCGCTAGCATGAACATCTTCTTGTTGAAGTCAAATATTTCTAGTTTCTCAAGTATGTTTAGAGCTTCTTGGCACAAAACTTTTTGTATTTCCGCACTATTATTATCATGATTATTTCCTTTATTTTATTGTCTAATTGTAGTAATGATTTCTTTTTTAGTTAAATCATATATGACTTATTGCTCATTTGGATGATTGAGAAGGACATTAATATCCATTCGATTAGTGTAATAAAGTTGCCGAATCTGATCACTAAATTCTATAATGACTCTTTGATTCTCATCATCCACTTTATTTGTAACTTGCAATTCATCGACATCGGGGATCCTAATTTGATAATGANTGACTTCTTTAAAATCAAGTGAGGACCATCTATTAACAGGAGTAATGGAGGGTGAAGAAATATCGGACACATCATCAGAACAGATGTCAGAGTCAAACCCATAATCATCAGGAACAACATCTATGGGAGTTTCATCAAATCCAATCAGTCTGGCTTCCATCTTGCAACAATATTTTAAAAACTCCTCCAAAGGTATAGACTTGGGCTGTAACCTTTTGCCTGCAGATCCATAATCAATGAAATTCAAGTTGATGATTCAATCGGAAACGTTGCAATGGATGGGCGTTGACTCAGCATGACTGACAAATAAAGTTTGGTGATGATTAATACAACTAAATAATAAGTTACAAAACACCAGCTTGGCCACAGATTTTTCAGATGTTAGCTACACAGAATATGTTAAGAAACAAATCCCAGAATGTCCTAATACCAGCATACTATTTGTACATTAATTAATACTAGTAGAACTTGTTTTAATAGGAGAAAAGATGTTAGTATTCAAACACTAAAATTCACTTATGCCAGTACCACTTGATTCATCTCTTTTACGGACATTCTTTCAATCCAAGCATATTTTGAAAGATCAATACACACATTCACTGACAAACAAAGAGCATCTGATACATCAATTGGTAGTGCAGTCTAGTTACCATATTGTGGTATGATTTTTCTTAAGTGCAAGTTAACATGAAATTTCTTGTTTATCCAATGTGAACCGAGAACAAGTAAACTGTGCTACAATCAATATTCTTTTCGAAGGGTGTCAAATATAAGTAATCATCACAAGAGGCATACTAATTTCATGGGGATCAGACAGCATGTGTGCAACAAACCAGAGAGATATCAGCATACAGCTTTTACCTTCAACTCTGTGAGGAGTTTTTGTAAAGCAATCCTAATAGCATCTTTTTTTTTTTTTTTTGGATTAGAGGCAGCAATGCAAAGCTGTAGATCTCTCCCAGTTACTTTTCCCTCAACTAAAAATGTTGTCGCCTTTTTTTCTGGCTGGAAACTGCAAGTTCAAGTCATAATATTGGCAAACTTCCTGTAGTTCCGTAATAGGATTTAGCTGCATGCCGGAAAAGCTCATGACTGGTTCAAAAAAGGATAGCATTATTTTCCACACTGTGCTCAAATTAAACCCAGAGTCAAGGAGGATGCCACCCATACAAGATTCTACCAAGTCACCAAGAGTCTGAATCAACAGATGAAACCATGTTGAAATTTATAAGTTAAAACTTAAAAAATAACAATTGCCGAGGATATCTAGGTTAATTTTTACACTCCCCTTTTTTGTTNCGGTAATGGTCTTAAACAAAACGACCCCGTTTTGGCTTGAATATACTTAAGTGAAACGGCTCCGTTTTTGGCTTCACAATACTTTCAGTCTCCACCTTGAAGCCAACTTTATTCCTTTTAGTGCAGTAAGCTATTCCATATTTCTTCTCAGCTCTGAAGGGCAGTATTTACTTAATGTGAAGCAGGTTCAAGCAATGCTTCAACTTGGTTGTGGTCACCACTTTTGTTCCCATATCTGCCGGATTATCTTCAGTGGGTACCTTCAACAGATTTATCTCTTCCTTTGCAATCAAGTCTCTGACAAAGTGATGCCTTACATCCACATGTTTAGTTCGTTCGTGATACACTGGGTTCTTGCTCAAATGAATGGCACTTTGACTATCAGAGTAGACTGTTGCTGTGCCATTCAACAGATCAGCTTCTTTCAGGATTCCTTGCAACCAAGTTGCTTCCTTGAATGCATCTGAAACTGCTACATACTCAGCTTCAGTAGTGGATAATGCAACCAGAGGTTGCAACTGAGCTTTCCAACTAACACAGTTGCCTCCCAGTGTGAAGTAATAGGCAGTTGTGGACTTCCTAGAGTCTCTATCACCTGNTCCCTTCAATTAATTTCCTCGATGATGGAGAAGTTTTTAAAAACTTCACATAATTGTTTATAGCCTCGGAGAAGCCACTTGAATTAAACATAAGAAAGTTGTGCAAGGACCGATCCACGGCAACATTTGCAAAGGCCTTATTGTTCAATAACACTGATCTCAAATCTGTCAACTGACCAGGCTTCAACTTTGGGTAGGTCGAAAAAAGATACAAAGTAATTAAGTAATCCAAGACTGCATCTCCAAGGAACTTCAATCTCTGGAGAAAACCATTAAAGTATTACACATAACAGCATCATCAACATAAAATGTCAAGCTAGTCAGACAGGCAAGACATGATATCTAGAATATTAAATCAAGACACACTACCAGAGGAGAGAAAAGTTACAGTGCATAGCTGATAGCTGCCTCCACCATGTTGGGTGTAAGAAGGATGCAAAACTGCCTGTAAAAGCAAGCCTTTATGGAGAAACTGATATCCTAACAAATTGTCAAGGGCAGGCATATCCACAGAAGGAGTCAGCGACAAGTAGCTTTGGCTTGCCAAGCAAGCATTAGTAACTTGTGAACCTTCAAACTTCATTTGTATACCAATCCATATAAGAAATGCAGTTGCAGCTTTGAAGCCACAATCAACTATGAATGCTCCAACAAGGGTTTCAACAACGTCAGCAATTGTTTTCTTATGTAACCAGTGGTGACCTTTGCTACATCTGATTTCACCAGAATTTGCATCATCTGCTGCATGACCTTTTTTTTAGAATGAATTTTTTTTCTGTTTCCTTCCTACAAATTTTAGTGCAACGACAGCCCAAAGCAAAGAATTGGCAGGGATCAAATGGTTGATCACGTATATATACCTATAACAGAAGTAAGTTACAAGTACTTCGATTGTAAAATCCAATTTACACATACTTAAGTTTACCGCCTAGTCGAAATTATTCCATTCCGTGTAGACTAACCATCAACTCCGAAACCTTAAGTTTATGCAGAAAGGACCAGTAATCATATTTAAACTCCGATACACTCCCTCATGGTCAAATTTAATTAATGGTATGTTACATGGACTCAAACATAAACCTCTGCTATATCCTAATAAGTTCTTTCAGGATTTAAACACAAGATCTCTCAATCAAATTAATAGACTCTACCATGTTGAGTAACCATTCATACCAAAAGCTTAGGCTTATAGGAAAACCAACAATAATATTCAAATTGTAACACTGCTGTTGTAAGTAGAAAATCAAAAGACTTATTCATGGACACATAGATACTTAATCTTATACTTAAGAGACAGTATGGTTGACACTGTTTGTAGTCAGTATTCAGTAGTTTGCAGACCTTGCAGAATCACGTAACACCACCAGAAATTGTTAAGGTAACCACAAAAAATAAGAAAATCAAATAGTAATAAAAATCCACAATGGAATACTATAATGAATAAATTAGTGTTCTCAAGGAGAACGGCAGAAAACTAAATAATTAGAATCAAGAAATCAGTTTTGATGCTAAAAGGGATTACTAGTCGTGCTCCCCAAACTCCGAGATTTTCCAAACAGTACATCAAGTTATCATGCAATCTGTTGATGTGCTTTTTTATATTCCGAAGACTTTGAACATCATGTCTCTCCCTGCTAAGTGTTGATAGGCACTGCTCTTACAACAAAGCATTAGCGACAAGTAAAAAGCTTGTTTCAATGAGAAGATAGAACAAAATAACCAGCTACAACTATATACCTCGCCTTTTATCTCTGAAAGTTCTTTAGCATAAATCATGCATGTAGGAGCTAGAACTGCCACTTACAACAGGACCATATGGATATACTTTTACAACAGGTGATGCTACAAATCTTTTCAGATCTAACTTATCTTCAACTGAATACACCTACAAGATAGAGGTAAAAGATTCAGAGGTCAACAATGGAAAACTTGAGCAACTAGATTAGTATAATTACATGATTTGCTACAATGAAGTCCAACAATGCCTAGCTATAAGCACGTAAATAGAATTTGGATGGAAATTGAAAATCACATTTAGAACAAGTTCCATTTTAAAAAGCTTAAAATGAGTGATTGTACATATCAAATTTAAGACAGAAAGTATTAAAGATCTATATATATCAGTTTACACTCCAGTATAAAGATCTTTACAAAAAAGAGATGCAAGGATCTTTTGGAGAACAATAAAAGAGCTCGCTTAATATCATCAAAATTACCTTTACCCTTCATTTTATAATTTTTTTTTTTTTTGTTGGTGCAGGGCTTATCAGAGGAATGCTTGACCAAGACGTTAGCCTTCACCATGGGACAAACAACATATGGACATGTGGCGGACAGATCTTTTAGAGCATTCATAAGGTTGTAAAAATACTTATTCAACCATTCATATGACTAATCAGCAAAGTTTGAGGTTTTATGCAAGCTGCATTAGAAATTGTCTGCTAATATAAATGATATTCATACACTGCTACCAAGCAACACGAAATCCGAAATCTAAATAGATATTTACTTTTATTACAGTTTAATAATCAGTAAACATTATATTTACTTTTATTACAGTTTAATAATCAATAAACAGTAATTTTAACGCATAGATTTTGTTGCACAGGGCAACTATGACTCGTTCCAAATCCCATGAGATCTAAGGTAAACAACCAGAGAAGAGGGGTAGATGAATAAAATGTTAGAAAATAAGTCTAAATGGGTTAGTAGGACTGATACAACTCAGCTGATAAATTGTCAGACCGGCCAAGGTTGAGTGTGCATCAATGCACAATAGCATCGATATGCCGGGCTAGACTTGGTGTACGTCTAACTGTACCACAATCCACAAGCCACAGAACACCTCAGTGCTAGTAAGCTAGATGGAAAACCTAAAAGAATAAGTATAATGTACAATCTTGTCAAATGTACAGTGAAAAGATAAAAAGAAAAATATATATTTGAACTCAGCAAACAGCCACACAATATTTCAAGGCCCAAGGCAAAGACCGTGTATATTTGTAGAGCAGGGATGCTTCCAGGGATTGAACAACAGCACAAAAACAATTCTATGCTCCAGAGAAGACATTTATAATTGAGCTTGGGCACAGTTAGTTAACAACACTGGCCTCAAAAACAATAAGAATTTCATAAATCTAAGTTACATCCAAATACACAGTTTCTACGACTCACCTTAGCATCGAGTATATATTCAAGACTATTAATGCTTTTGGGTAAATTTGCTTGATTCGAAGCACCTGAAAGAGTAACATATACGCATGAAGAAACTATGAAACCAAGTAACTGCTACTTTACAAACCCATACTATATGGCTACTAAGTTTGACAGCCAATAGAAAGACCAGTCCTAGATACAGGTTATATGACATGGGAATCCAAGTATCCAAAAATTATTCAGAGTAATTTTATCACGCCGTACATTATGTTTTACTTTTTTCTTAAAAAAATGGATTCATAAAGAAACAAGGAGTCATATGCAAAGACAATATTCCACCATAAACCATCCCATATAAATGACAGGAGGAATTCATCATAGGTCTGTCAGAAAAACCCTAGGACATAAAGTATTGCAGGCTGACAATTTGGAGCAGATGTATTGTCTAGTTTTTTTTTTTTTGAAATCAAATGAGTTATATTCATTCAAAAGGATCGACTAAGGATCCAATACAATTTGGAACTTCTTCAAGTTCAACCAGTACATCATCGATGGTTAAAGCATTTTTAGCTAAAGTATGAGCAATCACATTAGATGCTCTTTTAACATGATGAACCGAAAAAGTGATAAAATTCCTGGAAAGCACCCTAGTGTCCATAGAAATAAGACCAGCTTGGCCCCCCCCAATTCTCTTCATCCCTAAGGAGATCATTGACTACTTGGAGAGCATCCCCTTCCAGGATTATTTGGTTGATCCCAATATCTGCTGCTAGAGTGACTGCTTGAAGAGCTGCGAAAGATTCAGCCACGTGTGCATCTGGCAGCATGGTTTTTTTCATTCTCATAGTCGCCAGAAATCTACCTTGCCAGTCCCGAATTGCAATTCCAACCCCAATTGTGCCTTTTTCTTTTCTCACACTTGCATCCCAGTTAACTTTGAAGATACCTTCAGGTGGTGGCTGCCATCTAGGTGAACTGGGATCCGAATTCAGCGGGTGCGCCTTTGGAGAGGTCTTTGATTGAGTCAAGGAATTTAACATGTCCAGTTTTTGAGTTGCTTGGTGAATGAGCTGGGATGGAGTAGACAAATAATGTTTGAAAATAAACTCGTTCCTCCTTTGCCAGATTTTTGAGACCACCACACCAAATTCAGCTAAATACTTTTCCTCAAGTTTGGACAGCAATACCATAACGAGCTCTCTGAAGTCAGTGAAATTGTTGTTCATCTTTTGAAAGATTCGGGAACAGCTTGACCAAATATCCTTGGCAGCCACGAAGCCCCATAAAGCATGCAAGACATCTTCTTCTTCTAAGCAACAGAAGGTGCAAAAAGATTCCTCAATCACTCTTTTCTTGACAAGGTTACACTTGGTTGGAAGAATGTCTTGGCAAGCCTTCCACAAAAATAATTTCTCGGCATTAGTAATGGGAAGCTTCCATAGCTTCTTCCACTTTTTATTATCATTAGCTGCAGAAGAGGATTGGCCTCGGGATGAGATTTGTATTGTCTAGTTGATTGCGTACAAGAACTCCTAGACTTCTCAACTATATAGTTATACTACAAACTCTAAAGAGAATGGATAAGCTATGCATTTATGGCCTGTGAATAGCAAAGAGTCCGTTACATTGCTGTTTCTAGTTATCATTCTCTTCTCACAATTAAATCTCAATCTTCATTTAATCTTTGTCTCATATTTTCATGCCTCCTAGGGATCTTAATAATAGATGGCTCAATTGTGCGAATAAGCTTTTCCAATGCAAGTAAAATTTTCTCGTATCTGTTGTCAAGGCAATCATATTGCAAATTCATTAGCTAATATTGGTTATGATAGCTTCAAAGATTAGAAAGAAGAAAGAATTTCAATATTTTCCCTTATCCTATTCCTATAATTTCCAAAATACACATTTGTTTTACTGTACTGAAAATACTATTATATTTTATTCGATCATTTTTTAAATCCCCTAAGTTTGTTAATTTAACTAAACACCCCAAAAAAAAATTTAGAAATTGACAAAAACATCCCCACCACCCACATTTGCCAGATTTCAACCACCAACACCAGAAGGTGACCGGAATCTGGTACAATGGCGCACTACTGGCTGGATCTAGCCGGTAGTACGTCGATATAGTCTTTTCCAGCTAGATCTACAACCAAAGATCTAGCCGTTGACGGTCAGATCTTTGGCCTTAGCTAGTTGTCAATGACAGCTAAGATATGGTCGTCGTTGACTATCAACAGCAGTCATATCTTTAGCCGTCAATGGTCAGATCTAATTGTAGATCTGACCTTTTTCGACCAGATCTACAGTAGATCTAGTTGGAAAAAGTCATTTCAACGCACGACTAGTCATATCCATCCGGTTGTGTACCGATACGGCGAATCCGACCACCCTCCGGCGGTGGTAGCCGGCTACCAGTATTTAAGGGGTGGGTGGGTGTTTTTGTAATTTTTAATGTTTTTATTACAGAGGTGTTTAATAAATTAATAAATCTAAAGAGTGTTTTTGTTCATTTTCAAATCTTATCTCGTTATTCCCACCTAACTCTTAACATTTCAAAAATACTATTCTAAATGCTAAAACAAACACACCCCTAGGAGTCCTCATGCTTTCAAGATTTGAAAGTAAAAGAAAAAAGATCCACATTAACTCTAAGAAAACTCCTCATTTAAACTTGACCTTCCAACAAAAATGCATACATGCACACAAATTTTCAAACAATTAAAACTCTAAAGCTCAGGAGAAAAAGGGGACATGTGTTACCTTTCCCTACAACTGGAGATGCAGTCATGCCAAATATTCGAGGCATTTTCATCTCTTTAGGTTCATAGAACTCCTACACAATTATGAAGATAATCTACGTCAAGAGATTAAAGTACACTGAGTGCAAAGATGCTTGCAGAAATTTTTATGTAAGAAAAATAAACATGAATATATATGCCATCACTTTCATTATTTGAGCCTAAGGATGATTGCTTTTGACTTGAGCATGACGGCACTCATCAAAGATCAGAAGAGCAATTAACTCCATCTGATAAAGCGATGACAAAAGCTATGAAATAGTATTTGGGGCTCATTACAAGAACCTGCACAAAACAGTCAGCAAAAACTAAAATTTAAAATGGAACAAATTGCATTCAATGAACTTGATAAGACAGACTGACTCACAATTATTGCATACCAATCTTTGAAATTTTAAACTTAAGGAAGAACAATAAAACTTGAATCGCACGAATTTTTAAGTTAATATCAACCACAAGAGAAGTCAAGATCCAGGAAACAAGTTACCTCATATTTTTCAATCCTTTTTTCCCAATTATGAGGGTTCTTGACGTGTGTAGAGCCTCCACAAAAGATCCCCACCTTCAAATCAGTAGAGTCTTCTATAACCCTCGCTTGCTACAAAAAACAAATAAACCAAACGGTAAACCAAACATAAAGTTAATACTAAGATGGGCATGCAGCTTTATCTTCAATTTTAAATTACAAAACACACCACCAAAAATCAGCTTAGGCATAAAGATTTATCCTATGTTTAAACATTGCTCAAATTGTCTACAAGATGAAGAAACTCAACTGGTGAACAAGTGCAACAGTAGGCGCAAGAAACACACATGTGCTCTTCTGGGGTTTAGGTATCAAATGAGACAGCTCGTGTATGAGCAGCATGGCAATGTGGGTTTTGCCACAACCTGTCCCCAAACATACAATTATGTGTTGAAAAATGGCTTTTAGCAAAATCACATGGGGTAGAAGTGATAATGGAGAAAGGTTTAGGAACTTATATGTAATAGGCCAAAAAAAGTTTGTTTGTCCCACATTGATTAAGATTGAAAAGTGAGAAACTTTTGGAGCCTATCTATGAGGACCCAAATCATTGTTATTAGGTATCCCAAGTTGTAATTCCATTATACTTCTTTTGTTTAGGGTTCTTTCTTTAAGGACCCTTTAGTTTGAAGATTTGTTGTATCTCCCATTTGTTTTGGGTATTTGTTGTATTGCCCAAAAGTTTGTAATATTGTTTGGAGATAGTGGAGTTTTCTTTTGCAGCGCCCGAGGACGTAGGTTTCAATACCGAACCTCGCTAATTCCTGGTATTCTTTATTTTTGCATTAAATTTTGGCTATTTATTTATGCTTTACTACTTGTTATTATTATATTCGATAGCTAGCATTAGAGTTTATGTTTTCGTTGCATAACAAGTGGTATCAAAGCCTAGGTTTAGGACAGTGAGTAGCTATTTGTATGGTTATATGCATGTCTAAGAAAATTCTGTCAAAAAGACGATAAAAGTTTAAGGAGACTGGATTTTAAGTGAGACTATTTGTGACCCCTCCATTGTTTCCTGGGAATTTTCCTGGTGCGTATTTAATCATTTCAGCACTTACTACTTCCTTATGCTATTGTTCATTTGTTGGTTAGCTATTGAATATACTAATTTGTGGAGCTTGGTTATTGTGAATTTTGTTTACCAAGCCAATTGAGTAAGGCATAATGGCATCATCGTCCCATGATTCATCATCTGAGGTATCATCGTCCGAGGATTCATCATTTGAGGTATCACCATCCGCGGCACCACCATCCGTGCCAGTAAAGATGATAACGGTTTCAAATGCAAAAATTGATGTTGAAAAATTTGATGGTCAAAATAATTTTGGCTTGTGGCAGAGTGAGGTAATGGATAGCTTATATCAGCAGGATCTAGATATTGTTCTGGAGGAGGAAAAACCAGAAGATATCTTTGAGAAAGACTAGGTGAGGTTGAATGTAAAAGCTTGTGGAATGATTCGCTCGTGTCTTTGTTGAGAGCAGAAATATCCATTCATGAAAGAGACGTCTGCAAATAAGTTATGGAAGGCGTTGGAAAAACAAATACATGAAAAAAAGTAATGAGAATCGGCTCTATTTGATGAAAAGATTGTTTCGTATTCAGTTGAGACCAGGTACGAATAGCAGTAGCCATATTGATACATTTAATAGATTAATTGCTGATTTGTTAAATTTGGATGAAACATTCAAAGATGAACATAAAGCTATGTTGCTGATTGGATCTCTTCCGGATGAGTTGGATCATCTTAGTATTACATTTCTTCATGGGAAAGAAAAATTGTCCTTTGAAGAAGTTTGTTCTGCCCTGTCCAATCATGAAATTCGGAAAAAGGATCAGAAGGAGAATAGAGATGAGTCAGCAGAAGCACTTGTAGCAAGAGGGCGTAGTCAAAGTCAGAGTCGTAAGAAGGAGAGAAAAGGAAGATCTCGTTCAAAGGGAAAACTCAATAGGCATCAATGTGCCTTTTGTCGTGAGAAAAGGCATTGGAAGAAAGATTGTCCGAAGTTGAAAAAGAAAGAGGGCAAAGCTGCTTCCGATGCATACGTTGTTGAGCATGTAGAGGATGAGTCAGATTTCTGTCTACTTAGCCTATCATCCACCTTTGGATCAGATGAGTGAATTATGGATTCAGGTTGTACCTATCATATGTGTCCTCACCAGGAATGGTTCTTTAATTTTGAAGAACTTGATGGTGGAGTTGTTTATATGGGCAATGATGATGCTTGTAAAACAACTGGGATAGGTTCAATTCGATTGAAGAATCACGATGGCTCAACTAGAACGCTGACAGATGTTCGGTATGTACCGAAATTGAAAAAGAATCTCATCTCTTTGGGAGCCTTGGAATCTAAAGGCTTCACGGTGAATATGCAAGATGGAATTCTAAAAGTTTCTTCAGGCGCTCTTGTGGTAATGAAAGGCACGAGGAGAAACAACTTGTATTACTATAATGGTAGTACAATTATTGAAACGACAGCTGCAGTCGTACAGAAGGATGCAGATTCAGAAATGCTCAAGCTGTGGCATATGCGTTTGGGGCATGCAGGTGAAAAAGCCTTACTTAGTTTGGTGAATCAAGGCTTATTGAAAGGTGCAAAGACCTGTAAGCTAGATTTCTGTGAGCATTGTGTTCTGGGAAAACAGACAAGAGTGAAATTCGGCACCGCAATCCATAATACTAAGAGTATTTTGGATTATGTTCATTCTGATGTGTGGGGACCTACCAAAACAACATCTTTGGGAGGTATGCACTATTTTGTCACTTTTGTAGATGATTTTTCCAGAAGAGTTTGGGTGTATGTGATGAAAACTAAAGATAATGTACTTGGTGTTTTCCTTAAATGCAAAAAGATGATTGAAACTCAGACTAGCAGAAAGATTAAGCAGCTACGTACAGATAATGGTAGGGAGTATTGTAGTGATCCCTTTTTGAAAGTTTGCCAAGATGAAGGAATAGTACGTCACTTTACAGTAAGAAATACACCACAGCAGAATGGGGTGGCAAAACGCATGAATCGAACTATACTGGAGAAAGTTCGGTGTATGTTGTCCAATTCTAGGTTGGGCAAAGAGTTTTGGGCTGAGGCAGTTTTATATGCGTGTCATCTTATTAATCGTCTACCATCGACTGCAATTGAAGGCAAGACGCCGATTGAGGTATGGTCTGGAAAACCTGTTTCTGATTATGACTCTTTACATATTTTTGGTTCTACTACCTATTATCATGTAAAAGAGTCTAAGTTAGATCCGAGAGCAAAGAAGGCAGTATTCATGGGGATTATGTAACGCCCCACTTGAGGTACGTAGTTATTGTTTCTTCTTTTGCTCTTATTTGAGTTGGTTTATTAGTATTATTGTCTGGTTGACCTTTGATTGAGTGGTGTGTTGAATACTTGCCCTTAAATTGGTTGAAAATAGAAGAAGTTCAGTGTTCCAAGATTCGCCGGGGCGAAGATCCGCGGCGAAGAGGTGTTGAAGCCACGGGAAGCTGCTGGACAGTTTCGCCGCGGCGACAGAAGCTTCCTCGCCGCGGCGACAGGCCGACCAAAATGTTTGTTAAGTTTTAGATATTTTTTCCCTAAGGGCAATTTGACCATTCTACCCCTAATTAGCAGGAAAAGTGGGGAGTAAAATGTAAGGAATTTTCATGGAGAATATGTTGTTATGGGGGTGTGTTTGTAATGAATCAAAGGATATAGATAGAATTCCCAAAGAAGAGTAAGGGCAAAATGGGAATGCTTGTGTATAAATTTCATTAAAAGGAATTAAGTCATTGGAAACCCTTCATTCTTCTTCTCCATCGCCACTCTCCTTTCTTACTTCCTCTCAATTTCTCTTTCACTTGTTCAAGGATTTTTAGAGGGCTTTTGGAGTGTTTTGGGGTAGAAAATCAATCTAAGGCATCCTAAGGTAAGGNAAAACAAAAATCAAAATTTACTGTATTTTCCTGCAACTTTTTGCGCAATCAAACAAATAGTAATCAAAAGAACAAACCCACGTAAGAAAAGTAGTAAAACCACAGCTTAGAAAAGAAAAGCAACCCAGAACATTAAGAATAATTCAAACTTTACTAAAAATTTCCTCCAATTCTCTGACTAACCAAACGAAAACTGATAAAAAAAAAAAAAAACCCACATATAAAAAAAGTAGTGAAACTTCAGAATGGAAAAGAAAAGCAACCCAAAACATAAAAATTCAAACTTACATTTTCCTCCAATAAACAAACCCAAATCAGGAAGTAGAAAAACCACACGACAGCAAAGTAAAGCAACCAAACACATAAAGTTCAACCTTTACTCAGATTTTCCTCTAATTCTCTGGCCAACCAAACAAAAACTAATCGAAGGAACAAACCTACATAAGAAAAAAAGCAAAATGACACAATGTCAGACTTTCTAGCAATCTTCCTCGGATCTTTGACACGAGCGTGAGCTCTTGAACTGCATTCTTCAGCACCAACAACACCAACTTCAGAGACTAGTTGATTTGAGTCAACCATGGCATCACCGTCCGGCATGTGAGGCTGAGTAAATGCTTCTTCTTCTTTGTTTGTTTGGTCACTTTATATCAACATAACATGACAAGACAGGATAGGATAGAGCCAGCCTTGGGCCGGCACGAAAAAAGCACAGCAAGACATGACATGAAAAATATATGAGCCGTGCCATAGGCCTTAAAAAAAGCCTGTGAACTGGCACGGTACAACACAAAAAAAAAAATTAATAGCTATTTTTTAAAATAGTCGTTACCCCTTGTGCAATGGGGTAACGGTTATTTTAAAATAATTGTTACCCCCTGCACTAAAATAGTCGTTACCCTCTTGCACAGAGGGGTAACGACCATTTTAAGATGTTAAGTTTAAAATAGTCGTTACCTCCCTGTGCAAGTGGGTAATGGCTATTTCATATATATATTTTTTTAATTTTTTATTTTTTCCTATAAATACCCAATTATTTCTCTAATTTTTTCACACTCAATTTCAATCTTCATTCTCCTTTCTATCTCAACTCTCATAATCTCTCTCAAATTCTCAATTATTCTTTTCGTCGAATTTATTTTAATTTTTAGTCAAATTTCAAAATGGATCCAAATTCAAATGAATTTAATATTTTTGATTATTTTGATAATGAGTCAGCACCACAAAATATATCACAGCCACCCCCAGAAAAGAAAAGAAAGCAAAAATCAATGGTTTCATGGTGAAATCGTGCGATGTGCAGTGTGCAAATACTGTGGTTCTAATTTGGTCGGTTCAAGTACTAGTGGCACTGGGTATCTTCGGAGGCATATAAAGGAACATTGCAAAAAAAAAAAATGCCACAACATTTAAAAGGGCAACAACAAATTTCATTTACAAGGACATTTGTTGCATCGGTATGTGATTCAACTAGTAGTCAATCAAATAGTGTAATAGGCGAGATTTCTAGTTTCACATATAGTCAACAAAACATGAGAGACTATATGGCCAAGTACATTGTCGCAACCAATCAACCTTTTTTATATGATGAAGATCCAATTTTAGAATGGTATGTGCAAAATAGTGTACAACCTACTTTTATGAGAGTTCCTAGAAATACTTTAAGAACTGATATTTTTAGAATTTACAATTAAATGAAAACAAATATTAAAAATACACTTAGTAAATTTAATGGCATTATTTCGTTTACTTCTGATTTATGGACGGCCACTAATTAAGATTTATGATATATTTGTGCAACGGGGTATTTTATTAATTCAGATTGGCAACTAGAAAAAAAAAATCTTACATTTTGTGTATTAGAATATCCATGTACTGGCGTCACTATTTATAAAGAATTAGCTAAATTTTTTAGTGAATATGAAATAAATGATAAAAAAATCTCTCACATTTGATGATGCATCATCCAATTAATGATAGAGTTATTGATTTTTTGTCAAAACAATTAAATCCACCTTATGAAGGTCAATTATTTCATATTAGATGTGTTTGTCACATAACAAATTCAATTGCACAAGATGGAATAAAATCAATTGAAAATGAAATATTTTTAATTAGGCATGCAATTACATTTATTTCATCATCTCCTTCAAGTTTACAACAATACCATAGTATGTGTAAGTAAAAGGGGTTACAAAAGAGAAAATTGAAAACTGATGTTAGGACTTGTTGGAACTCTAAATATTTAATATTAAAATCTTGTGAATCATATGAAAATGCTATTACACAATTTTTTAATACAAAGCAATATGATTATTTATTGACTAGAAATCATTGGGAATTTGGTTTTTCCTTAATGAATATTTTAGAACCTTTAAATGATGCTATTGAACAATATTTTGGTATTTATTATCCTACAACTTGTTTAGTCTTATATCATATAGCAGATATTAATTCTATTTTTAAAGAATATAGAAATCATGCAGTTTTTGGAAATATTGCAAAAAAAAAAAAAAAAAAAAAAATGGAAACAAAATTTAGAAAATATTGGGAAAAAATACCTATATTGTTTGCTTTAGCTACTGTAATGGATCTTAGGGTAAAATTATTAGGAGTAAATAATATAATAAAAGAATTTTCAACAAATCTAGAGACCCCATTAAAAATTTCAGTAGAAGATTTTAAAACTTTATTACTTCAAATGTATTCACATTATGAAGTCAGACATGGAAACATGACAAGTATACAACCACCAATACCATCAATGTAAAGTTCCTCCATGGGTAAAAAAGAGCGTATTTGGTCTATCATTACTAAAGGTAAACAACTAGTAGGTGCTAGCTCTTCATATGATGAAATTACAAATTATTTTAGCATGAATCATTTGGCTGAAATTACGATTCAAAGTGATTATTTTGATATTCTTCAATGGTGGAAAGCACATCGAAAGACTTATCCTATACTTTCCACCATTGCACGTGATTTATTAACGCCTTCAGTTTCTACTATAGCATCAGAATCAGCTTTTAGTGTAGGTGGGAGTGTATTGGATGAGAGAAGATCAAGTTTACATTCAAGTGCTGTTGAAGCCATTATGTGTTTGAAAGATTGGGTGGCGACATATTTCAAGCTTCAAAATCGTGTTGTTGAAGATATATTTGAAGATTTTAAGAATTTACAAATTAATGAAAATGAAGATGTATAATAATTCTTAATCTTAATTTCTAAATTTGTATTTATAATTTATAATTATAACTTATAAGTAATAAAAAGTGTTGAAATTAAATTAATATTTCAGTGTCTCATTATTTTATTATATTTCATAGTGATTATATATTTTTAATTAATATAAATACAAAATGTCATTAAAAATGACATATAAAATATTTTTATAATAATTATTAATAATAAATCAAAATTACCATAATTTATAAATATTAAAATTAAATATTTTTACAAAGTACATGGGCTGGCCCATGGCACGGCCCACGGCACGACCCAAGGCATGGCACGATATATAACAGGCCGTGCATGGGTCTTCAAATTTCGTGAGCCGACACGGCACGACAAGACACAAAACTATGTGGGCTTTGGCACGGCACGACCCACGGTATTATGAGCCTTGAATTTTTCAACATGACATAGCACGATCCACCGTCACCTCGAGGATAGGACAAGAGAAGAGAATACAAGTCAAGTCAAGTGAATAACTTACAAACTAAACAGTAAAACCATGAATACAGAAAGTTGATTGAACAGAAAGTTTGACATGGCAGATATTGAACTTTCTGCCACGTCAAAATGCAAGTAAAAATCATCGGTCGCTTGGCTCACTTTATAGTTTCTTCTCTTTGGATACTTCGGTGTTTGTTTGATTGAGCAGAAAGTCGCCGGAAAGTTCAATATCTGGTGAACTTTGCTGCCACGTCAATGCTATAAAGTTGTAGGAAAGTTCAATATCTGGGCATAGAACAAATAAAGATTGTATTTGTTTTATTATTTTTGTCATATTTTATTTTTATCCTATTCAAAATATATATTTATTTTAATATTTTTAAAATTTAATCATATAGGCTCCGTTTGGTTGCCAATTGGGAATACTACTTTTAGTATTCCCAAAAAAGTTAAACAGTAAAATACCCAAAAACTATGATTTTTGGGAATACTACTCCCAATATTATTCAATTTTTTTAAACCCCTTAAATTTGATAATTTAATTAAATACCCCTAAATATTTTTTTAAAAATTATAAAAACACCCCAGTAATTCATATTTACCAGATTTCGGCCACCACTGCTGGAAAATGGCCGGAATCTGTTAGGATGGCGCACTACCGGCTGAATCTGGCCGATAGTGCGCCGATCTAGCCTTTTTCGGTCAGATCCACGGTGGATCTGGCCGGAAAAGGCCAGATCTTTGGCCGTAACGGTTTATAACGACGGCCAACAAACGGTCGTTGTTGACTATCAACGAAGACCGTTTGTTGGTCGTCGTTGACGAGAAAATACGGCCAGATCTGGCCGTAGATCTGGCCTTTGTCGGCCAGATCCACTGTGGATCTGGCCAGCAAAGGCCATATCGGCGCACGACCGGCAAGATCCAGCAGGTCATGCGCCAATACGGTGAACCCGGCCACCCTCCGACGGTGGTGGCCGGCTGCCGTATTTGACATTGGGTTGGGGGTGTTTTTGTTAACTTTTAAGATTTTATTATAGGGGGTGTTTTGTAAATAAACAAATATAGGGGGTATTTTATTAATTTATAAATCCTACATCGTAATACCCGCCCAATTCCACTTTTTTTTAACTTTTTTCAGAAAATTTTTTCCAAAATCACCCAATTGTGAACCAAACGAATTCAATTCAAAATGATCTGATTTAAAAAGATCAGATCAATACATGAACAATCATATTTAACTGGTCATGCCCCATTACGGCAACTATTAGTATTTCGTGAAAATATTTTCCTTTTTGAATTATTATAAGTTTGAACAAAATAATTTGTTAAAAATTTAATAGAAGATAATCACGTGATACATGATCCTGTATTTTAGGCTCGGTTTGTTTCAGGTTTAGAAATTCAATGGCAGTGAGATGAGATAATTCAAAGTTTGTTTGGTCAATTAATTAACAAGAATGCGACCGGACGCGTGACGAGGATTATTAATTAATAGACCAAATAAGCTTTGAATTATCTCAGGACCGTTGAATTTCAAATTTAGAAATTCATTTTATCAAACTGCAGTTCACATACTCGTCACTCGTGAAACTTTCCCACGAAATTCCCTTCCAACTCAATTTTGTCGTAACCTTCTATCAGTCGCTCATCAGTGCAATTACGACGCCGTTTCATACGGCTCAATACTGTCCGTTAGTCGAAAAGACCCGGGCACCTTAACCCTTACTCAATTTCTGTCTGAAAAAACATTAAAAACGAACCGGGAAAAAGTAACTTACTCGCAGATGTCAGATATCTAAAGATAACCACTACTTATAATCTAATCCAACGGCTCACATTCAACAAACACGTCTAAACTTCCCAACTGTCTACATGGCAGAGCGAGTTTCAGAATCTTCTACTCGTCTCAGTTACTTTCCCAAACAGTCTAACAAGATATTTTGAGAAAGTTTATGTAGCATCTGTCACAATATTAATCCAAATATTTTTTAATTTTTATTTTCTTAATTACAGCTAAATTTATATGTACTCATCTAATTTAAAATAAGTCTACGAAAATTTAATTGTATTTAATATTTTTTGTAGATTTTTTAAAATAAAATACTATATTAAATTAGTAATCGTAATCAAAATGCAATAAAAGATTTTAAAAACTTTTAATTTAAAATTAAAAAGACAAAAAAAAATAAAAAAAATAAAAAAAAGTGTTTATCAATGAATAAGTTAAACGCAACTTTTATTCTATATTTATAAATTAAGATAAAAAAACTTATCCAAGTAATTATTCCAACTATTTAATTGAAATCGTATTTGAAGTTGAAACCACCCTCTATCTCTGTCCTCGCCTTTTCTTCGAAGGCAACTCTTAGAGTTTCGCCTCACTCTCGCTCCAAATTTCTCCTCAATTTCCTTCAATTCCACTCTCTTTATCTCCCTCCCTCGCACTGTTTGTTTGCGGAAGCGATTCGCTGCGTTTCGGTGCATGACGAGCGCGTCGGAGCTGTTTTACACCAGGAGGTCACGCGTGGGCCGTGCCGATCACGGTTTAGGGCTCGACCCTCTCACTCCTGAACGGACTTTCCACAGTCGTCGCCATCATCAGAATAATAATTCTAATCATCGCCATGATTCGGACGGCTGTGATCCTCTCCGTAGATCACCGCATGGGCGCCATCTCTCTCACCGTCCCTTACATTCGGTAACGACCTGTTATATCAGAACTCCGCCAATTCCAATTAAGCTTTTAATTTTGCCATTAATGCTGTATGTCATAAATTTTTCAACTTTTGATTTATTTATTATTAGTAATTTTTTTAAGAAAATAAAAAACAATAATAATAAGAGTGGTTGTGGACAAACGCCATAAATCAAGTGCAGAGATTTTATTTTTTTTAATTGAATGTTTTCCGATAAGCTTTCTGGAAATTCGCCAGTCTGAAACAGTTATTAAAGGGGCCACGTTAAATTAATTCGAGGGTGTTTTCATTAGTGATTTAAAAGTAGTTACTGATATTATGATAAAATGGACTTCTGGAAATAATTGGGTGCAAGCTCACTGAAAATTCTTTCAACTTTCAAACTGGTTTTTTACGATGGAATCTCAAAACAGATTATAAAACTGTGGCTTTCTCAAGACTTTCTTTGTTAATTGCTTGTGAAAAAATTAATAATTTTTCTTTTGGATTACTAATCAAACAAGCCTGGTTTTGTTCTTTGGTCAGGATTTTAGTTTTTATAGGTTTCCTGATTTGTCTAAACTGGTTATGACAATTAGCAGACATGGGTGTTTTAGTTTCTGTGAAATGCATGACTTCATTTTTAAATATTGTTTGATGTGAAGTACTTCTGGTATCATGGTGTAGATCCCGACAAATCAACGGAATATTGACCCTTGCAAAAACTGATTTGCATAAGAAATTTTAAGTCCAAAAGTTAAGAAAGCAGAATTTGAGGTCAGCAATAAAAAACTTGTTGAGCTTATTCAGGAAGCCTACTTGAACACTATATATATATATATATTTTACCTGCAAAAAAAAAAAAAATAATCAGTGTTTGGGTAGTGATTAATTGTAGAATTTTGATCATTTACTTTGCTCATTGTCGTGTTGCATTTGGCTTGCTCAGGAGCGTGCTTTAGCTCGACCTGATCAAGGAAGGAGCCAGTCTGTCACAAGCAACGCGGTTAACTCAGCAATTTCAAGAATCACAAGTAGATCGAGTTTGAATGGCAATGACAGGCTTCCTGGAGCTGTACTACTTGCAAGGGCAAGGCTTCTTGAGAGATTGAGAGGCGTGTCCCTTTCTGAAAACAGGTTGGTGCTTACTGTTATATGTGGGTTTAGCTTTTTAGTACCCAATTACGAATTTGTATATGCATGCATGGCATGGGCCTATACCAGAAGTTTGTGGTCATCATTTTGGTGCTGATTCCAATTTTTTTAGTGGACCATGACTGGTTAGATTTGTACGAGTAAATTATATTTAAAATCTTATTAAAATTAGTGCAACTTTAATTTTTGAAAAATTGATCACATCTCTTTGTTAAGTCTTACTTCTTAACCTTTTTGCGAGAAATTGTTTATGTTTTGCACAATGGTAAAGTTTAAATTTCCATATGCCATTGATGGACTTGACAAATTTGTGTTTGCTTTTAGCTTTTTTTCAATGTAAAGTATTGTTTTTTTTAATGAAATTTATAGTAATGCAGTGGCATGCTTGGTTGTTAAATGAAGGTTTTTTAATACTTGTAGTTAATTGTTAAATGAAGGTTTTTTAATACTTGTAAGTGCTTGCATCTTAATTACTTGATTGATGGACTCCCAAGTCATGGGATTATATTGTTCCCATTACCTGCCACTGAGTGTTGCTTATGGCACTTTTATTGTAATTTTTACTGATGGTGTGAAAGCTGAACTTGGGCCACTTGCACTTGTAATGTATTTAACAATATGCAGCGCATGTCGTATTGGTTCTAGTCTACTTGTCTAATGATTCTGATGAGATGAATCACCATGCTTTCATCCATGTAATTTATAGTACAGTCTCTGCACCTCTCTAACTTCATGGAATGTGAGGGAAGTGACTTGCTCTGTTTGGCTTTATACAGGAGAAGTTCCAGAGCTTCATCAGACAACCACAGGAGGAATTTATTTGATGATGAATTTAGGCTTGATGATGCGGGGGACTGGGGAGCTGAAACGTCAACTGGATGGTTAACTGCAATCTCTCCCTTCACAGACTCAACCTCTGAAACAGAAGGCGTGCAATTCGTGGATGAAGCGAAAAAGGAGAAGCCACCTGGTCTTACCCAGGAGGCCCTGGGTTGTTTGCACATGGAGGTCTTTAGCAGCTTCAGAGTAGGTAACAATGAGGAAGTGTCAAAGGCAACTTTAGATTGTAGTATATGTCTGGAGAGTTTTACGGATGGAGACGAGCTTATATGCCTGCCGTGCGAACATAGGTTCCATTCTGGCTGCTTGTATCCTTGGGTTAGAAGTTGTGGGGACTGCCCATATTGTCGAAGAGATATAGTTGTAAATAGTCAAGAGAGGCACGAGGAGAACTTAAAATCCCTTGTCAGGTAAATTTTTATTGAATTTTTAATATGTACTTGGTGAAAGTTTCGAGAGTAAACTAAATTTGGTGAGATATATTGTAGTTTTGACATGAAACATACATAGTGATCCTTGTATTGAAGGAAACACGCCGGAATTTAGATTCTCACTTGTGTTGTGTAACTTGTTCCAGTCATTGGATTGGTTGTTGTAATCTCGTCTCTTTTTGCAAGTTAATCTGCATCCTGAGAATGTGAATTATACTTTGAGAAGTCTATTTTTGAATGAGATACAGAGGATGCTTTGGGTTAAGAATGGTATATGGTAGACACCTGAAATTAAAATTTTAGAATTTACTTTGGCCATTTATATTTAAAAATAATTATTTGGATTGCTAATTAATAACAGAGCTTAATCCACAAAGGATTGGTCTAGCGGTCAAGAAGGTTTACTCCTCTCATTAACTTTTGGGTTGGAACAATCTTGAAATCACGTATCATATTGTAGTTTACCTTAGAATTTTAAGTTCAATGGATCTCGTTAATTGAGGTGTCCTCCAGCTTGAGGGTGTTTAATGAGTCTCGTTAATTGAGATGGGTACGAGTTGATTTAAAACTGATCATAAAAATAATAATAATAGACTATCAAATTGGTGAACCATAGTTCGTTGTTACCAAATGGAATTGAATGTATTAATGAAATGAATCAAGATGAGTTGATTTCCAACAAGAATTAACTTTGAACTTAATTGGCTACATAATTTCTAGCTATATATTACTTATGTTATCTTATTTGGTTTAAAATTTGGATTTTGCTGAGGGACTGTGAATCATTTGAAGATTGTAACCTATTGTATTATACCTATTACTAATCAATAAAAATTCAAATACTCACATCCTATTAATTATTTTCTGCGCTATTATACATAAATATATTTTGAACATTTATAAGATTTGAGTTTTATCTAAGTTTATTGAGATAAAATTACCAGGTTGGGCTGGTCATTAGCTCAAGTAACATTAACAAGTCCTTAGTTTATATCATAATTTAAGGAGAAATTAACCCAGACTCTTTGAAAACCATCACAATCGGAAGTCATCATTCTTGGTGATAGTCATCAATCGACCTATCAGCCCATGAAAACCATATCTTTAAAATTTCAATTGATTCATAAGAAAGGAAGTATTATATAAACCACAGCTGGGTGGTCAAATGATAAAAAAATAGGAGGTGAGATGTGCACAAGCTGATCCAGATAACTCCGATGATCAAAAAATCTTAGAAGTTAGTTAAGTGTGTACAACTAATTTGGACTCCGATGATAAAAAAGGAAGTACTATAAATAAGTAGAGAATAGCGTAAAACCAGAAAAACTAAATTTGCAAGAAATACGAAGTAAAAAGAAGAAGAAAAAAAATGTTACGGTGGAGATGGGGTTGGCATTAAGTAAATTGGGCTAGAAAAATGAAATAATGAACAAAGATAAGGCGAATTAGCTTTGGATAAAAAGGGTACACATGTATATATGATATCGTGTAATATATATTTGGTGGATGCATGGTACTGATTCCCGGCGATGACTGTAATCTGTAATTAATTAATGTCATGAAATGAAACTATCTTCTCTTCTCTTGCATCCAATTATTGATATGCAGGCAACTTAGCCACACAATTTCATTTTCATGCCCATCAATATTAATAATATAGAATGCCCATCACATTCAATGGAGGGGGTAAGATTCTGCAGGCTTGACCAATGACCTAATATTTTCTAATGTATCAAGTTCTTCCTACGAGGCGTCATGCATGAATCATGAAAGCCGTCTTTGAGAGTTTTTGATGAAAGCCCCAATGGCCCTCAACAGTTTCAGTTTGAATGAATAAACAACTCAACTGAAACCACAGATTAATAGAATTTCTGGACCATCGATCTGATGATGTGATCAAAATATACGAATAACAATATCAGAATCTGCTTTACTTAATTGTGGATTTAAATATTCAATGGATTTTGTTATGAGAAATGGGGAAACCTGTAATATCCGGAGGCATATGTCTCTCAAATCTCTTTTTATAGTATATGATATATACTATGAGGCGACTTAAATATCGAAGCTTCAACCAACTTCGGCATAGTAAATATCACCCAATTATATAATATAATTCTCCCTCTTCCTCCTTTTTCTTCATGTTTTCCTCTCCTCTTACGCAGGCACACAATTTAGGGGTGAGCATGGGTAAAGGGTGTAACCAAAATTGAGGTCCGGGTACACATGTAGGAATTAGGACTGAATTGTATTTTATTGTAAATTATTGGGATTTATTTGTAATTTTTTTAAAGTAGGGGAGTAATAAAATTAACCTAAGTACTCGGAACCGAAATTGAAACCTATGTTTCAAATTTCAATTCCAAGTTTCTAAGAACCGGAACCGGTTGGTTCCAAATCTTAAGAATCATTCAGTTCTAATTCTTTTAAAAAATACAGGATATCTGGAACCAATCATCCCTAGGCACACAGTGATGTGTGTCCATTGTAATTGAAATCAATCCAGATGACTAATTCAAACTCTTTTGTTAATAGTATTTTTCGTTAAATAAAAATGTTAATTTCCCTAATTTCTAAACACAGCCCTAAGGCAAATCATATCTTATGTCATTCGATAATGTTTTATATTTTGTTTTTAAGTTATTGGACCCTTTAAATCATTTAAATACATGTATGGTCAAATTGAGAGCACATTATTTAAATAAAACTAGCCGGATATAGCATTATTCTTTGAATCAAAATCTATACTTGTGAGTATATATGCAATTGCATGCAACAAAGTGGACAGTATGATAATTGTCTCTAGGTGATTGAACAGTTCGATAGAAATTCTTTAATGTATTACTCAAAAGGTCTTGAGTTTAAGTCTCTCTTCAAATGTTAATAGAGATAAATACTAGAGCTTTTATTCTGTCGGTGATTGTAAATCTCGAAAGATTAGTTGAGATGTGTATAAACAGACCTGAATACTCCTGATCTTTAAAAAAAAAAAAAAAAAAAAAAAAGAAGGTGGACAATAGGCCAGACAAACCAATGGACTTTAATTTATGTTGAAGGGCATTATTCTATTTCTGATTAAAATATAGGGAGTCAAGTTTTTCTTCCTAATTTAGAGGCTAAAGAATATGTTCCACGTTGGGGCATGTTGATATCATATTGTCAATTACTAGTTGAAAGATAATATACATTATATTTTTGTAAAGGTTTTGTGATGGTTCCATTAGGCAATTGTTGATTGGATATGGGTATGAAAATGATATCCGGTGCGCACATAATAATAGAATTTGTTGAAAACTTCACAATTCAATCTGTGGGTGTATCTTCACTGTTCATTGCTTGTTTTACAGCAGCAACCATTCTATATTCAAAATTAACATATAATAATATAAGAGATAATAAATATTCTTAATCACCCTTAGGTAACCAGATGAGACAATAAAGACTTTTAAAAGTATTATTAAAGAGTTTATGAGTTTGATTTCTCTCGACTGTTAATAAAGATGATAATTTAAGGGTTCATCCGATCGTTAGTTTGAGGGTCTTGAGAATTAGTCGAGATGCATGTAAGTTGATCCAAACTGACACCTTGTTAAAAAAAAAAAAAAAAAATTAATATATGATCTTCCTAGATCAAATCATTTGCGAAATGGGTAAAAAAAATTGACTTGAATTTTAAAGTATAAATTTTTATAGAGTTATTTCCTGTAAAGAGTTTAAAGTCGAAAGGATTATCATTAAACGTGGGGGTTTAAACATAAATTAGGACGAAGAAACAGGAAAATTGAAGGTCTCGCAGTAGGTGACTGTAAGAACGTATGAGTTACTCAAACTCTGTGAAGACCAGAACCAAATGTTCAAAATTGGAGATTGACCAGCAAGATTAAATAAGTTGATCTTGAATTGAACGAGTCTTTAGTTGTAATCCAAGATCCACATAGCTGATGTTCCGGATTTCTAGGCAATCGAAAACAACATTATATCATTTGGGTCAATTATTTTACCAATATTTTAGTTGCATGTAGTTTGGTTAAACTAATTAATATGATAATAATTATACGTTTCTTATAAATTTTGAAATATTATGTCAAAAAATATTGTTAACTAATTATTTATTTGTTGGCACGATATAGTTTGTTTGGTGTATAAAAGTGGTGGTATAAACTACTTATGAGTGGTCGAGTGGTTCGATAGAGACTTTTAAATATATTATTCAAGAGGTTATAAGTTTAAGTTTCTTCTCATTGCTAATAAGGATAACCACTTGAACTCTTATCTGATCAGTAATTTTAGGATCTCAAAAGATTAATTGAAATACGTATAAGCTAACTTGGATACACTCGACCTTAAAAAAAAAAAATTAATAAAAATAAACTATGGTGGTGGTATACATCATAGAAATAACATATTATTACTCTTTCATTGACATATTTATTATACAGTTATTAAATTGATTTTCATATTTATTTACTGCTTATAAAATTTTATACCGATTAATGTTTTCTTGAAAAGTGGAGTAGCAAACTAGCAATCCACCGGACTCCTGAGTCCTGCCAAGTAATCTCATTAATTTGCATTTAAGATCTGATTTTGGGAGTTGCTCCAAATTATTTATTATTTATTTATTTTATTTTATTTTTATGATAGGACACGTCCCAACGAATTTGTATGAAACTTAATTAATCTTTAAAGTTTTAACTAATGACTGTCTAAATTTTTTAGTGATTATTTTATTAGTATATAAAAAAACTCAAACTTAAAAACTTATATTAGACTTTTTTACTATTTTACCTTTTTATCATTAACCATATTAAATCTCTTTATTCTTTTATCTTTTTATCATCAGTATGGAGTCATCGTCAAACTCCAATTTTATTTCTCTTTGTTTACGTTATTGTTCATAAAATATGAATATGAATGGGATATGGGCATTTAGTTGACTGCAAAGCAAAATAGTGAAATTGGATTGATGGTGGTTGATGATTAAGAAATAGGTCCTTTTTTTTTCTTTCGCTTTTTTTATAAACGTAATGTTTGAATTAGTTTATATATATTTTAATTAATTTTTGAGGTTTATTAAATAATTTATAATATTTTTTGATAAATATAGTGTTTGAATTAGTTTACAAATATTTTAATTAATTTTTAAAGTCTGTTAAATATCCTATAACTTTAATAAATCAAATAAAATACAATTATAAATTGAAATAAGCGGCCGAAGATTTAAA